TTGTTAGGGGATCCTGAAGGAGAAACAGAGAAAAGAACCAAAATGGGGGGTTTTAGGAGGAGACTCACAAACCATCTGCTTTGATTAATACAACCACCAAACCAAGGTGCTGCCTCTGAATTACCGTGCAGAAGGCCAGCTGGCAGAGCCACACTGCCACCAGAAATGGCAGAATGGGGTCTCCCATTCAATTCTGATGCTAAGTAGTAGGGGAAAGTTTCACATTCCTGCCTTCCAAGGTTGCCAGTATGCACTGAAAGCCTCAGTCCTATCTGAAAAACAAGGTGGTAAAGGAAACCTAGCCAAACTTGAAGTAGATCTATAGGAGGCCTCACTTATTAACACATTATTTTGGGATATGTAATGTCTGTGAATTTGAATTCCCCTCATCTGAGAGCCAGGCCTACATGCCCCAGCTGCCCAGCTAGAAGGGCAATGTTAATAAGGAGAAGGGCTACATAAGAAAAGTTCCTTCCAGAATCCTTTATTAAACCGCAAAAAGCAGATAGAAAATTGAATACCAGGCCCTCAAGATGCTGCTGTGCTCTCTCACAACATGACAGAAGCAGCTCCAAACCCAGAAGATTCAGCTTCCCAGGCCCACACCCCCAAACACTCCACAGCACAGACAGTACTAAAGGCTTTTTCCACTTCCATTCTCTCCAAGATGTCAAGTAAAGACTCCTTAAAACGCCCTTAGAGTTTCATGAAGCTCAAACTTCCTTTTACTGAGATGTTCCAAACCTGAGACGGCTCTTACCACTAATTCCTCCTCCTCCTCTTCCTCCTACAAAAGGAAAACAAAATTAATGTCAGCAGCAATTTAGGACATATATTCCTAGTCATACTGGTGTTGTAATTACTGAGGAAAAACACTGTATTAATTGTTTTTAAATTTTCTTTATTTTATGATGCTTTGACATTTTAGAGGTTTTGCTAATTCAGGTGTGAAAGCTCCTCCCAGGGGACAATACCTTTCATATGTAAACCAACCAATCCAAAACACCACCAATCACTTCATCTACACTAAACGAATTATTGCTCCTGCCCTAATCACCCTAAGGGCCAAGTACAAATAACTAGACCACCCCTATAGCCCCAAATTATTCAAATAATCCAGTCCTAAACTTTCCAGAGCTAACCTATCCTGCCTCACCCATTCTTTCCCTCAGAAATCAAGAGCTGATTTCCCTTGCTCTTTCCACTGGCCCAGGCACTTCTCCATGTGGCCCTGGGTGGTATGCCTTCCCCTCCTCTTGGGATCCATAAATAGTAAACTCTTCTTTCAAAAAAAAGTGTTTTGGGATCCCTGGGTGGCTCAGGGGTTTGGCGCTGGCCTTCAGCCCAGGGCGTGATCCTGGGGAACAGGATCAAGTCCCACATCAGGCTCCTTACATGGAGCCTGCTTCTCCCTCTGCCTGTGTCTCTGCCTCTGTGTCTCTCATGAATAAATAAATAAATAAAATCTTAAAAAAAAAGTGTCTCCATGTCTATAGTCTATAACCTTACCATGCCTAATTAAAACAAACCCAGAGTACATTTCAACAAGGACATACTATCCACTTTCATTAGCAACAACCTAGTGTGTAGGACACTCTACATAAAGCAGGGCACCTGGGGGCTCAGTCAGTTAAGCCTCTGCCTTTGGCTTAGGTTGTTATCCTAGGGTCCTGGGATCCAGCTCCATGTTGAGCCCCACATCGGGCTCCCTGCTCAGGGGGAGTCAGCTTCTCCCTCTCTCTCTCTGCCCCTCCACCCTGCTCACACTTTCTCTTGATTTCTTTCTCTCAAACAAATAAAGTATATAAATTACTTTCATATCTGTAATTTGATTAATCACAACAGCCCCTTAAGGGCTCCACTTTACAGATAACAAACACTAATTAGACATTTTCTTTCTTTCTTTTCTAAAATAAGCTCTATGCCCAACGTGGAGCTTGAACTCACCAACCACCCTGAGATCAAGAGTCACATGCTCTTATCTACTGAGCCAGCCTGGTGCCCCAATTAGACATTTTCTGATATAAATTCAAGCTGATGTTCACATGAAATTTTTGTTTGAAATTCTGGTAGGTCCTAGTATTACCAGAAATAGCTCAGTTTAGTCCTTCTATCCAAAACGAAATTAGGAAGAAAACTAACATTTTTTTCTAGACTCTGAACTTGAACTAGGAATATGAAAATAGCCAAACCTAAACTTTGTTACCAGAGCTTAACTAAAAACGTTAGTCACTGCTTTTTGACTTGCTGAATTTCCAGGTCTCTACATAGACTATGAGCATAAGTGCATCAAAGGTCTACAGTACAGTGCTCCATTCACAACCTTGGAAATACCACCTTCTACCTATTTACTTCTGATTCAGGTACACAACCTCAAACTTTGTTTCCTTTCTTCTTAAGAGCAAAAAATTCCCTATGGAAGCATCATTATAGGTCTAAATCTGGGGCACAATAGAGTCTGATCAATATTTCAGCCTGTTTGCCTGCCTGCACATCCATGTATCCACGTTTGGGGGAAGGGAAAGAAAAGGTATATAGGAAAATATCAAGAACTAGTTCAGCAATCCCTCATTATGTTTTCAAAAATCCAACACAATCTGCTTGTCCCTACCATGCCCTTTGGGAAAGAGACCAAAGCTCAGGAAAGCTGGGAGGGCTAAGGCTGCTATTTATCCTCACAATTAGCAAAGATCTCTTCTAAACATGAAGATTTTTAGGATGTCAAATTCTAGATTTTCTTTTTTCTTTTTTAAAAATTTATTCATGAGAGACACACAGAGAGAGGCAGAGACACAGGCAGAGAGAGAAGCAGGCTCCTCACAGGGAGCCCGATGTGGGACTCGATCCCCAGACTGGGATCACACCCTGAGCCAAAGGCAGATGCTCAACCGCTGAGCCACCCACGCGTCCCAAATTCTAGATTTTCATTAAGGTTTCTTACCCTTGCTCTTTAAAAAAATTCACACTGAAAAAATTCTTCCAAAAAACGGAAATCATATTCTGTTTCAGTTAGAGACCTGGAATTTGGGCGGGGGGCGGCAGGGGGGGGCCTCAGCGGTTTGGCGCTGCCTTCAGCCAGGGGTGTGATCCTGGAGACCTGGGATAGAGTCCCACGTTGGGCTCCCTGCATGGAGCCTGCTTCTCCCTCTGCCTGTGTCTCTGCCCCTCTCCCTCTCTCATGAATAAATAAATAAAATCTTTAAAAAAAATAAAAGAAAAAGAAACCTGGAATTTGTATCCTAGAAACAAGACCTTTGTATCATTTCTCTACTAGCAATGCTACTACATTGATCATTTTGATAATATTGTATGAAAAAATATTAGGACATGTAGAAAAACAAATCCAAGTCTGAATATGGACTACTTCATGTAAAATTTCCAGTCAATAACAAAAACCAAGGTCACACTAAACAAAAAGATGTAATGTCCAAAAGGTATAGGTTCTTCATAAGCCCTTAGTTTTTAAAAATATTTATTTGTTAGAGAGAGAGTGCCCAAGTAGGGGCAGGGGTGGACAAGGGGCAGAGGGAGAGAGAGCAGACTCCCCACCAAGCAGGAAGCCTGTCGCAGCTGGATACCAACACCCTGGGATCATGACACAGCTGAAGGCAGACATCCAACCAACTGAACCACCTGGGCGCCCTAAAGACCTCAGTTTTCTTAATTTTAAAACTGACTACTTGCTTTTTCTCATCTACTGCTGTGGTAGGAGTGCTGAACATTCTGGTATACTTCCTGCTGAACATCCTGAGGCTGGTTCCATTTCATTCTGCTCCTCTTTCGGAAAATAATAAGACTAGGAAAAATCTTGGGATAAACTAGTTTCCATCTGTTTTGAACCCATAAACCTGGAACAGCTGCCCTGAAGGGACTAGAGAACAAAGGATAGGAAATGTGACTGGAAAACAAAGGTAGCTGGCTTCTGTAAAGCTGTGAAGCACTGTGGCTAAGTCTTGGTTGGGTCAGAAACCATGCTGCTTGGGTTCAAGTCCTGGCTCCATGATTTTTCAGCTGTGGTCCTTAGAAAAGACATTTAACCTTTCTGTGCTAGTTTTTCATCTGTAAAATGACAATAAGAACAGTACCCAATACTTACCTTCTAGGACTAGTGTGTGGCTTAAACGGATTAGTACATATAAATAACTTGGAATAGTAAGCAGTCAAAAAATAATTATTAAATTGGTATTCTTACTCTGGGAAAGAGCTCCCTCTTCCATCAGCACAGAATTATACTGCACATTCCTACACTGTCCCCAAATATATCTCCCACCTTCACCCCTACCGAAAAAAAGAAACCACCACTTCTTTACAGAAACTAGCATAAGGCCAGATCTTCGGAACCTGCACAGAAAATGTGGCAGGATTCCTGACCCGAGTGGAGAGAAGCACTAGGGCTGGTCAGCCTGCTCCCTAAACCTGCCAAACTAGGGTCTCGAAACACCTGATCGACTAAAAATAAAAATACAATTTTTACAAAAGTTTAGGCGACACAGTATTTTCTTTGTCGTTACACCTTCACTGCATTCACAGACGGGGGAAACCAGGAACCAGAGAAAGGCTAGTCATCTACTTGTCCAAGATGAATCGACAAATTCTGGGGAAGGGTCAAGGGAACCAGCAATCCCGACGGTGCAGACTCCAGGGGCGACTCCAGGGCCAATAGGGCCCGGTGGGTTTTGGCGGGCTAGGTGTTGAGCCTCCCTCCGGGCAGCGAAGAGGGTCGAGTCGGTCGCCCTGCCTTACCTCCTTGGGATCTCCGGACCCGGTCAGCATCTTTTGCTCGTCCTCCAGCCCCATGTCCCGCTACGGTTCTGAACTCAACACCAGCCGCAACAGCGGCACCTATTCCACTTCAGGATCAAGAAGGACTTGTAAGGGTCACTCGGCGGATATCCGGCGGTCTGGCCGGAAGTGCGGCAGACTAGTCGTAGTCGCGAACACACGCTCGGATTGGCATCTACTACCGTCCATACGCAGGGGATAGGGGGAGCTGGTATTTGCACCTGAGGAGGATTTGCTAAGAAATATCCCCTTCATCGCGCCGGGGCCAACTACGTCGATCTCCAAATTTATTTAAGATTTTGGCTCCTAAGAGACTTGGGAAGAATTCGGATTTATTCGGTGTTCCTTTAGCGCAGTTCCCGGTATTACCCACATCGCTGATGAAACCGTCCTAACTGCTGACCTTTTCAAGATGGCGGCCCGCGGGCGCCACTCTCGGGCTCGCGCACCTCCCCAAGATGGCGGCGCCCGAGGCCTGGCGCGCCCGGAGTTGCTGGTTCTGTGAGGTAGCGGCGGCAACGACCATGGAGGCCACGTCCCGGGAGGCGGCGCCAGCGAAGAGCTCGGCCTCGGGCCCCAGCGCTCCCCCCGCCCTGTTCGAGCTGTGCGGGCGGGCGGTGAGCGCCCATATGGGGGTTCTGGAGAGCGGGGTGTGGGGTAAGTCGCGGGGTGAGGGGCTACCTCTGGCAACGAGCGGAGGCGGCCCAGCGGCCGGGGGGCGCGGGGGGCGAGGCCGGGAGGCCTGGGGCAAGGCCCAGCCCGGGGTACTAGAAGCCACACCGTCGGGTCGGAACATGAATTCCGTGACTGACCGGGCTGTGCAGAGTAAAGGCGGGGAGCAAATCGGCAGGTGGAGCCGCGCCGCGGCCTGGCTGGGGGGCGCGGGGGGCGAGGCCAGGAGGCCCGGTCTGGGGCCAGACGGGCAGGGCCCGGGCGGCAGAAGCCGGAATGACGGGCCGGCCGTGGGCACCGAACTGACGCTCGGGGCCAGCGGGGCTGCGGAGTCTCGGATGCCGAACCGACGGCCAGGGATGGCCCTGCTGCTCGGGGGCGGGGGCCGGGGTTGGGAGTCCCGGCCTAGGGCGAGGAGGCCAGGCCCCGGGCCACCTAGCCTGACTGACGCGCGGGGCCTCCCGCGTCTGCTTGACAGACCGCCGGTGCCGAGCCTCGGGAGGGCAGGCTGATGGGCGAAGGCAGCCCGGAGGATGGGCGAGCGAAGGGCCGGGGAGAGGCCAGAAGGCTTGGGGCGCCGCGGCCTGTCCGACGACCCAGGCTTGAAGGGAGCGCACTGACGACCGGGGCCTCGGGTGCCAAACTGCTTGAGCGCCCGACTGACGGGCAGAGCAGCGAGCGCCGGAGGCCACTCGGATTGGCCTGCGCGGAGGAAGGGCCCCGAGCGGGGAAGGGAGGCCGGAGCGGGTCCAGCAATCGAGGAAGGCTCGAATGAAGGACAGGCGGGAAGGGCCAGGGAGGCCCCCGATCCCGGCGAGGAGGGGGGCGTCGCGGCGAGGAAGCCTTGGGCTGAGTGGGAGCGACAGGAGGCCCCGGCCTGAGCTGCCGGGACGGTCGGGACGGGGCTGAGCGGCAGGGGCGGGCCCGCGGCGCTGGGCGGAGGGGCCCGGCGGGACAAACTGACGGGCCGGGCCGGTGGGCCTGGGAGTAGGGCGGGCAGCGCCGGCCAGGTAGCGCCGGAGAGGAGGCCCGCAGCCGACGGGCACGCGGAGGCCAGGCTTTGGGGTGGGCGCCCCTGGACCCAGACTGGCAGCTGATGAGAAAAACTCGAGTCGGCCTTGTGAACCCTGATGGTGAGAGTGAAAGAGGAGAGCGAAGGCTCTGGGTGGGGTGGGGAGGGGAGGGGGGTAGGCCTGCCCGCACAGGGGATGAGGGCGGCCTTGGGCCTGACAGACTGGTGGTGGAGGGGGTGGGGTCCGAAGTTGGGTGAGGAGATCCAGGCCAGGCCTAGGGCCCAGAGAAGGGGGAAGGAGTGGCAGGAGAGGAGGCCTCAGGCCGTGAGGGGGTGGGGTTCTGAAGAAGGCCTCGGGAGTGGTGGTAGTGTCTTCGCCAGGAGGAAGGCCCTGGTAAGGTCAGGTTGAGGGCTTGAGATCCTGGGATTGGGGGCGTTGCGGGGGGGGGGGGTTGCACCTGGGGAGGTGGCTGTGAAGAAAAGGCCCGGGAGTTTGGGGGGTTGGTCCTCCAGGCATAAGCCTGGAGACTGTGGAGACTGGCTAAAGGCCCAGGGATGCGGGAAGGCCCTTGGTGAGGTGGGGGTGGGGCGCTGGTCCTAAAGAGGCCCAAGTGTCTTCCTGTAGTGGGAAAGACTGTTAGAAGTCCTCAAGCTGGTAGGGGGAGGGGATTGTGGAGGCCCTATGCCAACAGCTGAGAGGAGAAGGGTCAGACTGACCCATGGGGAATAGGAGAAGCCTCAGTGGAGCTGGGCAGGGGGCTCCGGAAAGTCCTGGGAAGTGGAAGAAGGCAGAGAAGACTGGCTGTGTCAGCCGGGAACTTCTAGGATGCTAAACTTGGCTAGGAGGGAAGAGGACTGGGTGAGGAGGCCTGGAGTAGAGAAGAGGAAGCATTAAAGGTATAGGCTGGAAAGAAGGAAGAGCCTGGCTTAAGAAGAATGGAGAAAAGAAGAGTTTGTGAATAACAGGGGATGAGAATCCCCAGTGGCTGTGAGAGAAAATGGCTAAACAGAGCAGATTGGAGGGGCAGAGGAGAAAGAGCTCCTATGGGCCTAGCCCAGGTAAACACACAGAAAAAGCTGAATCAAGGTAGGCCTCTTAGGAGAGCCAAGTAATAGGCCTGCTGAGAAGCGCTGTTTTGGAGGAAGGTCCCTGTGTGGGCTAACAGCCAAGAAAGGCTTCCTGGAGGCAGAGGACTAGGGTTGCTTTGTGTAGCGAGAGAGAAGGGTAAAGTGAGTAGAAGCAGCAGGAAGGGACACCACGAGGAAACAAGTAGAATCGGTATGTTGTACCTTGAATGCCAGGATATGGAGCTTGGACTTTATCTTGAATGCAGTAGGGGGCCTGCCTACGTTAATGTAGTAGCTTAGGGAATTAATACTTTCATTCAGGAGGTACATTGAGTACTATGTACAAAGAATCATACTAGACTCTTGGACATCAAAATCCAAATATTCTACAAGTAAAGAGAAAGGGAGATAATAGAAACAAAGTTTTGAAAGATTTTCCTTAGAGTTAGTATACTCTAAGATTTTAGACTTGTTCTTGACAGGACAGAGGCTATTGACAGGATAAGAATAATAATAGACAGATGCCTGGGTGGGTTAGTGGTTGAGCTTCTGCCTTCAGCTCAGGTTGTGATCCCGGAGTTCCAGGATCGAGTCCCACATCGGGCTCCCTGCATGGAGCCTGCTTCTCCCTCTGCCTGTGTCTCTGCCTCTCTCTCTCTGTGTGTCTCTCATGAATAAATAAATAAAATATTTTAAAAAATAATAATAGACAACATTTAATGAGCTTATTAGAGCCAGGCATGGTCTTAAAAAGATTACAAGCATGATCTTCTTTAATTTTTATAACAATATTGTGAGGTAGTTATTATTACCTCCATTTTAAAATTGAGGAAACCAAGTCTTAAAGATATTAATTTGCCCAAGGATTCATAATTAACTAAGTAATAGAATCAGAATTTCCCCCAGTTTTGTCTAACTCTAGAGACTAAACCATTTAGCCACAATACTATAAAGTCTCTCAAATCTAGACATCAGCAAGAGCAAACTGTTCTTATGATATGTTGAATTTAGAGTTAGGGCCTAATTATTTCTATTGTTCATAGGAAAGTACTAGTTCAGGATATAGTAGGGGCCCAAAGAATGGGAGTTGCCAGCCTGGAAGAGTGGGAAGGGAATTCAGGAAAGGCTTAATGAAAGGCACATGATACTTGAAAGATGAGTAGTTGATGTGCTGAAAATGGCAAGGACATTCCTGGTAGAGAGCAGCATGACAAAGGCACAGAGGCAGAAAGCAGTGTAACATGTTAGGTAAGTGAAAAAAGTAGTTTAGTATGGCTGAAGGAGAGGAGGCAAAGCACAGAGCTGGAGAATTAGTTGGGCCCAGATTATGTTGGAGATTTTTATTACCCATATTCAGTAGGAATGGTGTTAAATGCAGAATGGTTCATTATGCTGGGCAGAAGTGAACTGAACACCTCCTCAATGAGCATATCATCCTGCCTTATTATCTCACCCTTGAAGATGTGCATGCCCCTGAAATTCCAGCTGCCAACTAAGTGGCTGAAGATAAGTAGACTAGAGTTTGAATTAGACTTAGGTTAACTTCTACGGGATTTATTTGCCAAATGAGAAGTCTGCCCTTCTTTTTTCCTTTCTAATAGGGTAAATAATGCTTGGAACCCTGGGAGAAAAAAAGTAAATTTTGTGTTTTGGTTTTTGTAGCCCTCCCAGGCCCAATACTCCAAAGCATCTTACCTCTGCTCAATATATATTACTTGGAGAGGATTGAGGAAACTGCCCTCAAGAAAGGTGAGTGTCTCTCTCTCTCTCTTTCTCAGTCAGTGACTGTAAGCAAGGCACCATGATGTTCTTCAGGTAATATTACACCTGATACCTGTGTAGAACTTTGTGCTTTTCAAAAAATTCCCTCATACTGACTTTCTTAGGTTATTCCTCACAATGTCCAGTGAAACACAAAGTAAATGATTCCAGTTATACTAATAAAATTGAAACCACAGGCACACCACATGAATAGCTAAGCCAGACCGAAACCTAGATCTTCTGAATCTTAGTTTTTCTATTTTACCTTGCTGTCTTCCAAACCCTTCATTGGACAGATCTGTTAACAGCTAACATTTATTTAACTAATCCCGATATGCCAAGTGCTGTCCTAGACACTTCACCTGGAGAAACTCATTTAAACTTTCTAACAATTTTATGAAATAGCTATTATTAACTACATTTTACAGATAAGGAAACTGAGGTCCAGAAAAATTAAGTAAACTTGCCCAAGATCACACAGCTAGAATGTGGTTTGCTGATATTTAAACCCAGGCAGTCTGTCCGTAGAGCCAGTGTTCTTTACTGGCCTGCCATATCACTCCTGTGAACCCAGAGAAAGACAGCATTAAAGGCTAATGTGCGACATTCGTGGTGGCCAAAGAGCAGCCGAGTAAATGTGATATTTCTCCCCACAGGCCTCTCCACTCAGGCCATCTGGCGCCGACTATGGGATGAGCTGATGAAGACAAGGCCTTCCAGTTTGGAAGTAAGTGAAGGCACCAGGGAGAACTCTGGCTTGACTCTGCACAGTGAAAGCAGGAGTAGCTTACAGACGCAAACTGGGGACTGGGAAAGTGCAGGACCAGGGGTGGCGTGACTTTGGGAGGAGGGCTCTGATGGCTTGTCACCAGGTTCTTTCCATTTGGCATTTGTCACTGACTTGCTTGCTCACCATGTTTGCGGGTAACACAAAACAGGGAAGGGTAGTGATCACAATGGATGGCAGAACCAAGACTCATAGTGGTCAAACCTACCAAGATGAAAATTAACAGAATAAACCAATTCTTCACTTGAATCTAAAAAATTCTAATTGCATGACCTTAGGGTAGGAGGTGCAGGGGGTCTGGCTTACCAGCAACTTGTATGAGAAAGATTAAGGTGGTTTAGTCAGTAGTGTGCTAAAGCCACTCATATAATGACTCTGTGTGAATTAATCTAACTATAAGCTAAAGGACTGTGGGGATAATAGACCGGCCTGGCTCTGCAGTTGGCAGGCTACCCCTGGAGTATGGAGAAAGAAGCCAAGGCCATATCACGTGAGTCACATTTGGAAGACTGGAGATGTTTTTCCTGAAGAAGAGAAGACTTGGGGAACATGAACTGTCTTGAAATATTTGAATGATTCTCACATAAAAGAGGAATTAATAGACTTGTTCTGGTAGAAGCTAAAAGAGAATAAATTTCTGCTAAACTGAACGTAGAACTTTTTTTTTTTTAAGATTTTATTTATTCATGAGAGACACAGAGAAAGAAGCAGAGACATAGGCAGAGGGAGGAGCAGGTTCCCCATGGAGAGCCCGATGTGGGACTCTCTCCCAGCACCCTGGGATCACTACGGGAGCCAAAGGCAGACACTCAACCACTGAGCCACCCAGGCGCCCCCTGGATGTAGAACTTTTAAATTCTGAGCTTATTGGTGATGAAACAAGCTAATGCCAGAGGTAATAAGCTTCCCATCTTTAAATGTTCAAAAAGAGTCTAGATAACTACTTGACACAAGGGTAAAAGACTTTCAGCATTTTAAAAGAAGTTGGGCAAGATGACTTTTAGGGCTCCTATTAGTCCTAGATTCTATTATTCATTGGTTCAGATATAGCTCACTCTTATTTAAGTAGAATTTCTTTTGCTGCTCCTTATAGGTGATAGGACAGACTGAGTTCAATAAACATTTACTAAACTTAACCACATACCAGGTCTTATGTTAGATATTGGAAGCACAGACATGGTCCCTTTCATGTTTAGCAAAGAAATCTGCAAACAAATACATTGTGCATGGTATAAGGATAAGTGGTTCAGTGACAGTAGCAAGGAGGTTGAGGGAGAAGGGAGCATGACAATCTTTCCTGGGAAGTAGTATTTGAACTGGACTTTAAATGGTGGATGAGGCCAAATGATAAGAAAACAAGTTCTTATCAGGAATTAGAGTCTTAATTTCTGGGGATGCACTGGGTTCAGTAACATTCAGCTCCATATCCTTCAGCTTTCCCATTTCTAGATCTGGACGTCACTCCTGAAGCTCAGTGTGATAATGCTAAGGCCCAAGAAAATCCTCAGGCAGCATGTACAGGAATTGTGCCTTATGAGGAAGAGAAATGGATGCAAAATAGAAAACAGAAAGTTTCCTGAAACTTTTAAAGATGCATGAGATTCACTTTTTCCCAGTGTTTCCCAAATAGTATGGTTGACTAACAGATGATGGAGATCATAAGGTCTTTCACATAGGGTAAGCTTTTTTCCCAATATTATCTCAAGCATCCTGGTAGTTTGTTATCTTTTCTTGTTCTGGAGCATTTCAGAACATTAAGGAAGCCCCAGGCTTGATGGCCTAACAGTCTCCCTAGACAGAGGTCCTTACTTGGATCATACACATTCCAAAGGGTACTGCCTTCTGCTTCCCAGTTTTACATGACAGTAACCTTAACTTTGTAATTCAGAAACACTTATTGAGTGCCTGCTCAATTCCAGGTGCTGTTCTAGGTTCTAGGGATATAGTGGTAAACAAGATAGCCCCTGATTGCTTATAAAGAAATATAATTTCAAACTGTGTAGTACTAGTGTATGTGTATTAAGAGATCTGTAGAATAAAATAAAATAATCTGTAGACAAACCAATGGGGAAATGAAGGAGTATTCAATAAAGGATTCTCTAGTTATTAACTATTTGGAAAAGATAAAATTAGAGCTTCATTTTACAATATACTTAAATTATTTCTATATAGATTAAAGATTAAATTGTAAAAAGTAAAAGCACAGAACAACTAAAAAAAAAGAATAAAGGTGACTGATTATCTAACCTCAGGATGGAGAATGTTAATTACTAAATTACACTTTTTTGAAAAAAGAAGGTATGGACATATTTGGCCATATAAAATGCCAACACTGTAAACACAATTTAAAAGGTACATAAACTAAGAAAGAATGTTTGCAACAGTATTTGTAAAACAAGAGGATAGAGGGAATGAGACAAAAGCAAACTATCCTAGTAGAATAAGTAAAGACGGGGCCAAGTCACAAAATATACAAAAATCTCCAATAAAGTGAAAAATACTCAACCTCAATAATTGAAAAATGGGAAAGTATATAACTCTTAAATTAGTAAAGCCTTGGTTTGTTTCAAAAGATAATTTCAGGAGTGGGTAAAACTTGCATTTTAATTTGTTATTGGTGGGAGCAAAAATGTAACTTTATTGGTGGGCAGTCTGGTGATAATTATCAAGAATCTTAACAATAATTATTAATAATTAATTATTAAGAATCTTTTTTTTTAATTTTTATTTATTTATGATAGTCACAGAGAGAGAGAGAGAGGCAGAGACACAGGCAGAGGGAGAAGCAGGCTCCGTGCACCGGGAGCCCGACGTGGGACTCGATCCCGGGTCTCCAGGATCGCGCCCTGGGCCAAAGGCAGGCGCCAAACCGCTGCGCCACCCAGGGATCCCAATTATTAAGAATCTTAAATATTAATTCTTTGGGAGTGCCTGGGTAGCTTAGTTGGTTAAGTATCCAATTCTTGATCTCGGTGTCCTGAATTCAAGTCCCGTGTCCAGTCCCATGTCCAGCATGGAGCCTATTTAAAAAAAAAAAAAAGTTATATATGTACACTTATATTATTTGGGTAGAAATTTTATTTCTTAGAATTTATAGTATATAAAAATTGAGATACTCCTGAAGATTTCCAAGATGTTCATTATAGCAACTATTAAAAATCTAGAAACAAACTTATTCAGTAATGCAGGAATCATTAAATATATAGTACATTCATATTTTCAAAATATTAATAAAGTCATATTTTGAAAACATTTAAATACACCATGGTACAGTATTTTAAAAGCCCAGCATTTGAAACTGTTCAGAGTTGTCTCAACGTTATAAAAACAATTTTCTATAGCTATTCACATTTACATATACCCTCCAAAGAATTGGTTTATAGATTTTATCTTTCCAGAAACAGTATTTCTGTTATCAGAAAAATAGTGGACAATAGTTAATGAACATTTGCTCTTGTTTACAAGAAAATATTATTCCCTAGTTTGTACACACACTTCCTCCCCAACTCTGCCTGAGCCACCAGCCTGTGGATGGGCCAAGGATTGTGTTGGTAGGTAAATGTCATTTCACCTCGGTGGTATCTCATTTCCCCTACTCTTGCCCAAAAGAACATGTTCAAATCACTTTGCATTCCCTGAGCAATACTGAACAAGCCCACGAAATGAGCGACTTAGCTGTTTTTCAGCTTTGAAATTTTAGCAGAGATTCTTCTAAAAGGTGATGATGGAATAAAATGCAGTAATTACTATCTGTTGATAATTGATTGAGATAGTTGTCATAACCAACTTTAGATACTCATTTAATCTTTACAACTCTATGATATAGGTAGGATATATTCCTCACTTTACAGGTGATGAAACTGAAGCAGAAAGAGGTGAGGTGGCTTGTCTGAGGTTATAGTTAGTGATGGCAGACCCAGGACTCAACTTGAGGCATGTGGCTGTGGAGTGCATGCTCCTAGCCACTATGTCCTGCTGGTCTCACTGCAGTTATTGTATCTGGGGTGTTCCAGTTTCAAATATTCTCACATTGTCTTCATCAACCAATGAAATGGGGGGGGGGGGAACCACACTAATAGTTATCTAAACTACATGTTCCACATGCCTTATGGTCAGAAATAGCTACAATATCTTGGTTCATATCTTTGTCCGTATTTGAGGCCCAGAATGTCTCACTTATGAAGTTGAAGCCTTGCTAGGTTACCTGCAACTGTTTTCCAAGGCTGTTAGCTTGGGCCAGTAAATGTGTTAGCAAAGTGTTAGAGGTAGAATTCAGAAATACCCTCTCTGCTTCCATTTTTCCATTTGAGGCTGAGTGGAGATTTGGTTCCCAGGTATTTTTTCCTGGTCCCCCAATTCCCCCCCACCCCCATTGCTAGTGAGAGAAGTCCCTCCCTCTTTTTGCTGCCATGCAGTTAGTTCAAACATGAAGAAGTCATTCCTGATTATTACCACAGCAGGCAGTGTCATGGGGAATAGGCAGGACAAAGGGAATGACACTTCTGAGAACAATAGGAGCCCAACTCCTGCCAAAAACCTCAGACATAAATTGAGGTCCACTCAGGTATGAGGGAGTGCATAGAGGAAGGCTAAGTACCAGAGAAGTGCCTTTTAATCTTGGGGAACCTCAGGCTCCTGCTACCATTTGCTTCAGGCTAAACAAGCACCCTGCTTAACAGGCTCTGCCTCCATCAAGTCCATTTCATATTGCCCATCTGGACTAATTATTAGCAGGAGCAGAAATAACATTTTGTATTTTAGTTTATGAAGTGCTTTCACTTGCACTCATTTGATGTTCACAACAAACCTGTGAAGTGATATTATCCACATTTTATAGATGAAGAAAGAAGGTCCAGATAGTGGCAGACATGACATCTGTATCAGTTAACACTTTCTCCTGTACCTGAGGAGAGAATGGAAACTTAAGGACGTCTCTGTCCTTTTGTGGTGATAGGATGGGGGTGGAGGCAGTAATTGCTAACCTTCTCTATACATCAGAATAATCTGGAGGTGGTTTAAAAAATAAAGGTGCATGGGCCTTACTGCAGATGTAATATAGAGAACCCTCAAATCTAGATACCTGGCATATGAATTTTCAAAAAAGCTCCACAGTCTGTTCTGATTTGCACCAAAGGTTGAGAAACACTTGCATTCAGAGTTCTTCTAAATGTACTGGAATAGTCTGATGAAGTCTCATGCATCAAAGCCAATAACTACTGCCTGGAGAAAACCAAAGATTTGGACCCTGATCTCCAGGAATTTCTAATCTGGTTGGGATAAAACACGTACACAGAGACTCGACACCCTAAGACAGGTCTACCAATGTTTAAGACCTGAGTTAGAGTATCTGAGGAGTCCCACAAGAGGCAGAGCAGAAAGAGGCTCACGGAGAGAGGCTGAAATGAACAGCCTCAACAAGAGTGACAGGTTAGTAGGTCCTCTTAGGAAGCCGGCAAGGAACAGCATTTCTGGCAGATGTAGGAAAGGGCAGAGGAGGCACGTTTGGGTCAGTGTGGTGATCAGTTTGGCTGGAGCATAGCATTCACATGAGCAAAATGTGGGAGATAAAGCTGCTCAAATAGACAGAGGTCATTTTGTACAGGGCTTTCCCTGCCAGGCTGAGGAACTTCAGATTGCCCCTCAGTAGTGGATAGATATGGGGGTGGAGGGCGCTAAAGCAGAATGTAATCAGACAGGTTTTACAAAGATTGAGTCCAGTGGATTTGTGCAAAAGTTTGGGAAGGGGAAAATTAGATAGAGGAACAATCTGGAAACTAATGAAGTGGTCAGGTGTGAGGTGATAAGGGTCCAAACAAAGGTGGTAATGGTAAGAATGGAAGGTTGGGACCAGGTTCTAGAAACAGACATGGAAGAAGTTACGGGATTGTTTCATCAGCACTATAGCAAAAGAATCTCTGGAACCAAATTTCCTGAGTTCGGTCTTGATTCTACCACTTATCTGTATAACCACAGGCAGTAACCACCTTTGTGCCTCGTTTCTCCTGCCTATAAAATGGGGCTAATAGGGACGCCTGGGTGGCTCAGCAGTTGAGTGTCTACTGTCAGCTCAGGGCATGATCCCGGGGTCTGAGCCCCACGTCAGGCTCCCCACAAGGAGCTTGCTTCTCCCTCTGCTGTGTGTCTCTCATGAATGAATGAATGAATGAATAAAATAAAATGGGGCTAATAGTAACACATACCTTAAAGATGGGAAGATTAAATGAATTTGTATAAATTAGAATGTTGCCTGGCTCAGCAAATAGCTATTGGAAGGGAGGAATCCGGGATGATGATGGTTCAACAGGTAGCACTCTTAGTATCACAGCTGTCTGGCATGTTCTCTTTCAGAGTGTGACCTGTTGGCGAGCCAAGTTTATGGAGGCCTTTTTTTCCCATGTTCTACGTGGGACCATTGATGTGTCTTCTGACAGGCGTCTCTGTGACCAGCGCTTCTCACCTCTTCTGCATAGCTCCCGCCATGTCCGGCAGCTCACCATCTGCAACATGCTGCAGGGTGCAACTGAGCTGGTGGCTGAGCCCAACCGCAGGGTTCTGGAGACCCTGGCCAGTTCCCTGCACACCCTCAAGTTCCGTCACCTGCTGTTCTCTGATGTGGCTGCTCAGCAGTCACTTCGGCAGCTGCTGCATCAGCTTATTCACCACGGGGCTGTCAGCCAGGTGTCACTGTACTCCTGGCCTGTGCCTGAGTCAGCCCTTTTCATCCTTATCCTCACCATGAGTGCTGGCTTCTGGCAGCCAGGCCCTGGTGGTCCACCTTGCCGCCTCTGTGGAGAGGCCTCCCGAGGCCGGGCCCCATCTCGAGATGAAGGGTCCCTCCTACTGGGCTCACGCCGGCCTCGCAGGGATGCTGCTGAGCGATGTGCTGCAGCCCTCATGGCATCCCGGCGGAAGAGCGAAGCCAAGCAGACAGCCAGAGCTGCACCCACCACCCGGGTAACACGCCGGAGCACACAAGAGAGCCTGACAGCAGGTGGGACAGACCCTAAGAGGGATCTGCACCCTCCAGCAACCTCCTACGAGGCTCCTGGCACCAAGCAACCACCCTCTGCTCCAGCCACCACCTCCTCTGCCTCTGCCTCCTCTTCCACATCCTCATCCAAACGGGCTCCAGCTAGCTCAGCCCCACAGTCTAAGCCGCTAAAGCGTTTTAAGCGAGCTGCAGGGAAGAAGGGTCCTCGCACCCGTCAGGGGTCCGGTGCAGAGTCTGAAGACCTGTATGACTTTGTTTTTATTGTGGCTGGTGAGAAGGAGGATGGGGAAGAGATGGAGATCGGGGAAGTGGCTTGTGGAGCTTTGGATAGATCAGATCCCAGCTGCCTGGGGCTTCCAGCACTGGAGGCCTCCCAGCGATTCCGCAGCATTTCCACCTTGGAGCTATTCACAGTTCCGCTCTCCACAGAGGCGGCTCTGACACTGTGCCACCTGCTGAGCTCCTGGGTGTCTCTGGAGAGCCTCACACTCTCCTATAATGGTGAGTGCCCTGCAGGGGCAGGGATGGATCTCACAGCAGCACCAGTTGTGTGCCCAGTCCTGTGAAGGGGAACGGAGTATGATCAGGAAGCTGCAGATGAGGCCCTGCTGCTTCACAGCAGGGCAGAAAGCACATACTTGAAGTAGGGGCAGACTTTTAGTCCTGGGGAAGAACATGAGGTCTGTAGGCTTGATTTACAGTTAGGGAAGAACATGAGGTCTGTAGGCTTGATTTACAGTTATAAACAGGGGTTCCTGAGAGGCAGTGAAAACCTGAAGAGTGGGTACATTTTAGCAATGGTAAGCAATCCATGGGCAGGTGGGAGCAATACAGTATATGCAAGCTCCCCCCCCCCCAATCCTATCAAAGCATCTGTACATTTCTTATCAGACCAGCAACCTGTGAAGGAGTCCTCAGTTCTTACCTACCTGGCTGCGCCCAGCTAGGCAAATTTCATCTCTGGGTAAATCCACCAATCTACCCAGGTTGCTGAGCACAGATGGAGAAAATCACACAACTGTGCCAACTGGTGCTACTACACATACATCTAGTCATCAACCTTATATGAATCCTGTGTTTGCAACATTAGTTCCCGTTCCTCTTACTTCTAAATGTTTACCCCTTTCTCAGATGACTACCTCCTGCTTCAGAGAAAGCTATCACACATGAACTTCAGCTTATTGTTACCAACCTATTAATTCTATGTCTACACTCCTCCTTTCCTCTTCCACCACAATAGTAGAGATGGCCATCCTAACCAAGACTAACTCTTTTACCTATGCTCTGGATCCATACCGTCTTACCTTAGGAAAGCTTGTTTCTCAAATGCTAAAGAACTTTTATATACTGCCTATGTGTCTGGCATAATTTAAGTATTCTATTAATTGAATCTTTACAACAACCCTAAGAGGTCAAGTGGCTTGCCGAGATAACCTCACTAGTAAGTTGTAGAGCCAGGATTCAAACCCAGGCAATCGGATTCCAGGATCCCAAGATTTTAAATCACTACTTAATGCTGCCTTCCTTCTCCAGTGAGATGCTAAGTCCAATACATACTTTTCAGTCCTTTTTTATTCTCGGTGGCATTTGCTGCTATGATGCAGTCTTCATGAAATACTCTCATTTCCATTACCTCAAAATCTTTTTCTTTCTTCTCCCCCTCTGAAGATTACTTCTCTTATCAATGTTCAGAGTTTCTGCCATTTTACATTCTTCCTGATAGTTTTGTCCATTCCCTTGGTTTAAAAGCCAACTATGCTGCAGACTCCCCTATCTATGACGCTGGCCCAGATCTTTATCATAAACTCCAGAACCATTTTAGCTGGCTGATTACTAGATACCACTTCATAAACCACAGCTCCCCAACCTGAATGCATCTTCTCCTCCCCATGCTGATCCTCCTCCTGTTCTATCAGTGACATCACAGCTCTCAGCTGCTCAGAAGACAGTTGGGTTCTTTCTTTTGCACATCTGTTTTTAAGAAATCTCAAATCTACCTCTTTACTACCTCTCCAGATCTTTAATTCAAGCTACCATTACTACTTATTTGTATTCATCATTTCAACAGTTCCTGATTCCATACTCACCATATAATTCACTGTCAACACTGTAGCATTTTTTAAGTGCAAAGAGCATTCATTTATTCACTCAAAAACCCTTCATTGGTTTCCTGTCACCATACTTAATATTCTTATAGGTCATTCATGTTCTCACCTCTGCTTACCTTTGTAGTGGCATCTTGAACAACCTCCCACCCCCTGTACTTTACACACATCACATTACTTTTCAGTTCTTGAAACCTGTCACCTTCTTCCTTCAGGCCTTTATGTATAGGGAGTTCTCCCGGCCAGTCACTCCTCTCCCTCCTTTTAGCCTGTCTCCTTTGTGTTCTTTGGGACTCCACTGGAAAGATTTTACTGATAGAAACTGGACTGGGTACCAAGTACCCATCCTTTGTGCTTCCACAATACTCATACTTCCCCAGTTCCCTTCACACATTTTTGTTCATCAGGCTACACAAGCAGGAGTAAGATCTGTTCATCGTCTAGCAAAAACTGTATTTACTGGGTGCTGGTGAGGTTTTACGGAAGGAATGAATCCACAGGAACTTGCTCAGTCCAAGGGGAGATGTTTGCTTTGTGGCCTTAAGCCTCTCCAACCCTTCTGTGAGATGGTTGTCCTTTTTTGGTCTATTCCCCACCCAGTTAATCCTTTAAAGTATTGCCTACTGGGTCATTGTCACTCCCCTGCTTAGATTTCACGTGTTCATTGTGACCTATAAGAGTCCAGAGACTGCTGCTGCCCTCTGGGCCTGGGCCTGTCATTCAGCTGGCAGCACAAGATGCCCTACCATGCCCTATCTTGTTTTGTGACTGCCCTTACTGATGCTCGAGGGCATGGCCCAGTATAGTAGACATCAGTTTGCTGGTTACCTGAGGAAAAAGCAAGACAATGGATGAATAGTTGAGATAAATGATTTTAAATAAGCTGATCTAAAACTCAAGAAACTTATCAACATAAATATTTGGAGTTGTCTCTGAATGTTACTCCTGTTGACACTCCCACATGACTGATCTAACTTCTTTCCTGCTATAGGCCTGGGCTCTAACATCTTCCGCCTGCTGGACAGTCTGCGGGCCCTGTCAGGCCAGGCTGGATGCCGCCTCCGTGCCCTGCATCTCAGTGATCTGTTCTCACCACTGCCCATCCTGGAGCTGACACGTGCCATTGTGCGAGCCCTGCCCCTACTGCGGGTCCTCTCTATTCGTGTTGATCACCCCAGCCAGAGGGACAACCCTGCTGTACCAGGGAATGCAGAGCCCACTAGCCACATAATTGGAGATGAGGAGATACCAGGTGAAGCACTGCATGTGTGTGTGTGTGTGTGTCTGTGTGTGTCCGTCCACACAAATGTGCAGGTGCATTTGTGTGGAGAAGGTAGGAAGACCTCTAGTCCAGGCCTGGCACCACTCATTCCTTAAAGAGGGAATGAAGTCCATTCCCTCTTTAGAGCCTGTTGTTCAAAGATAACCATGGGCTGGAGAGGGCCCAACGACTCTAAGCCCAGTAGGAAGTGACCATGGTAGATCAGTTTCTAGTAAAGTGGTGTAGGTACCTCTTCTGTATATTCCCTTAGATCCAGTATGTTTCCTATGTCACTACTCTGCACACTCATATTTGCTTAGTCTTCCTGAACTAAAGGCTCCAGCAGGGCAAAGACTAAATATCCTATTTAGTGCTTTGCTCCCAGAACCTAGCATAGTACCTAATGTGGAGTACACACTACACTCAATGACAAGTAGATGAATGAGATTTTTTTAGTGAATCTCTAAAGGACAGGATGGGACCTGCTGCGGGAGAAGAGGGATGGCCAGCTAGAATCTTTCCTCCCTACTATATCCAGAAAACTGCCTGGAACAGCTGGAGATGGGATTTCCACGGGGAGCCCAACCAGCCCCACTGCTCTGCTCTGTACTGAAGGCCTCAGGTTCTCTGCAGCAGCTGTCTCTGGATAGTGCCACCTTTGCCTCTCCCCAGGATTTTGGGCTTGTGTTACAGACACTCAAAGGTAGGACCCAGCTGAAATGGTAAAGGGAGGGTAGGAGACCTCCATACTGTTCTCCAGGAAAGCTAAGGCCCATGGCCTCTGCCCCCATGCAGAGTACAACCTAGCCCTGAAGAGGCTGAGCTTCCATGACATGAATCTGGCTGACTGTCAGAGCGAGGTGCTCTTTTTGCTACAGAATCTGACTCTTCAAGGTAAGTTCTTTATCCAGAACCTGGGGCATTCCTGGGTCTTCACTGCAGCTCTGCCACAGTCTCACTAAATGAGCAAGCCACTATTCTTTTCTTGCCCTTATGTCCTCACCTATAAAATGGGTTAGAGAACCTGCACAATCTTCTTTCTAAAAGGTCCCAAACTCCATTCTTCCTAAACATTGGAAGATTACTCACTTTTAAAGTGCCTCGCTCAAGTTTTTCTTACCTTTAAATAGCTGCAGAAATAATGGTGGTGGGGAAGGATAAATATGCTGTTTGCCCCTAATCCCCACCCCTGCATAGAGGGAAAAGAGGTGAATGAAGAACTGTTCATGTAGAGAACCTCCCAATAGTGAATATCTGGGCTCAGCCTCTGTTTTGAATCTGATTAGTTCCAGTCTTCCTTGGGGTCTTAGACAAATTCCCTTTTCTGGGCTTCTATAAAATGTTCACCACCACTACCACCCCTCCCCTTGGTAGGGCCAACTGGGGTAGGATGGGTAGCACCAAATCCTAACGTTAGCCATCAGAATTTATCCTAATTTCTCTTGACAGAGATTACCTTCTCCTTCTGCCGTCTCTTTGAGAAGCGCCCGGCCCAATTTCTGCCTGAGATGGTTGCTGCTATGAAGGGCAACTCCACACTGAAGGGCCTCCGGCTGCCAGGGAACCGCCTGGGTGGGGGCAGGGCCCTGGGAAGGGACAGGGGGAAGGAGCCAATCCTTTGACTTAGAAACTTAGTGGATGAAGGCACAGGCCTTCCCACTGGGGAACATGGGGGTTGGAATATCGTTGTGTCATGAAGCTTCAGGAGGGTGGGCTTCTCCCTACCAGAACGGGGTTGGCATCCCCTTGTTCCCCTGTTCTTGGGTGGTTGTAGACATTTCTCCCCTTCTTCCCAGGGAATGCTGGCCTGCTGGCCCTGGCAGATGTTTTCTCAGAGGATTCATCCTCCTCTCTGTGTCAGCTGGACATCAGGTACATGGGGCTGGGGATGGGACAAGGGATGGAACTGCAGGGATATAGACTAGGGATTAATTATTTCCTAGGTGTGTCTAATCCATCTTATCCCTACCAGTTCCAACTGCATCAAGCCAGATGGCCTTCTGGAGTTCGCCAAGCGGCTGGAGCGCTGGGGCCGTGGAGCCTTTGGTCACCTGCGCCTCTTCCAGAACTGGCTGGACCAGGATGCAGTCACAGCCAGGGAAGCCATTCGGCGGCTCCGGGCCACTTGCCACGTGGTTAGCGACTCGTGGGACTCATCCCAGGCCTTCGCAGATTATGTCAGCACTATGTGATGGGGCCCATGCTTCACAGGCCCATGCTCAGTACCATCAGCTTGCAGGGGCTGAGACATGGGTTGTGACATGGGCTGCCCAGAACTCCCAAACACCAGTTCTGTCTTTCTCTTTCTGCCACCTTTTTTTCTCTTTTTTCCTTCTTCCCTTGCACTGAGGTCCTGGAGGCCTTGATGGGACTCAGCAAAGGCATTTCCACAATTGGGTGTAGAGCCTTTGGGCCCCTTACCCCAGTACTCTGGGAACCTGGGCCAGGTTACAGTGCTCATCAGTCACTGGGGACAGCTCCCCTCCCCCTGCCTGAGGTTCCTGTTTTGCCTCCTCAAGCAGGTACCCAGGCTTTAGAGAAGTTTAGGAGTGTCCATTACCAGGCCTCTTCTCCACTGGGCTTACCATGCTGCTCCCAGGCCTCAGTCCCTTTCATACCTTTATTCCTTTCTTTTTTTTTAACCAAAAAAGGTTTTCTTATAAAATAAACTTTGGGCAAACATCATGCAGCCCTCCTTGATGATTTTTGTCCCAGAGAACAAAATTCAGTAGGGTCCTATAGGGCAAGGAGCCCCTTTTCCCTGTCTCTTTCCTTTGACTGCTACACCCAGACCAGCTGGTTATCAGCAGAGGCCCTGCTGCTCCTCATGGGAACGCTGGTGGAAGACGAACGTGATGGCAGTGGAGGCAGCATCCCAGGCAGCCTGGAGTACCTCATCCTTGAGCCCCCGCTTATCAGTGTTATGATTCCACTGAGCCAGGTCTGAAGTACAGTCAGAACCATCAGGGGGTGGCCGGACCTGGTGGTTGTTGACACAGCGGCGGCAGCGCAACCTAGGGGCAGAGGACAGAGTTGTGGTAACTACAGAGCCCATCTCTATGCTGTGGAGGGAGTTCAGAGGTAATGGCCAGTAAGGGCCACCTACCTGTCATGTGTGTCACTAAGGCTAGCCTCATCCAGGGTAAATAGCTCCTTCAACTCGCCCAGAGAGAAGTGCCGCTCCACATCCTGCTCTTCATCCACCACACAGCTGCTCAGTGCCTTCTTGTGGCTCTGGCGCTGAAAGATCTTCTCCTCAATGGTTCCTGCCTGGGGTGGAGAGACCCAAGAACACATGGCTAAGTCATCCCTGTACATAGGGTGCAGGAAAACGTAGGGTTTGAAACTATAGCCACCCAAGAGAAGGGGAAATAAAACTAAAAATCCTACAACAACACGTCTGCTCTGCTGAGCCCATTTTCCCAGTTTGTCTGTTGGGAACATGACTTGTACATATCAGCTCCCCCAGAATATTTTCTGTACAAATGGGAGTGTTTCATGGCCTGGCTAAATTCCTTCAGAGTGAGCTGGGTTTGCAGCAGCTTCACCAGAGCTCCACACCAAGCCCAGGTCTCTCTCTCTCACTAAAAATCATTAGCATATCACAGGCCATGACCTGTGCACGAGGATACAAAGAAGAATCAAAGATGATCCCTATTCCTGACCTCATAGGCTAGCTAGTGGGAGCAACATAAACTAACTGTATAATAATAGAAACCTATACAGGATAACCAAGGGCCCACAGAGGGAAGGTAGGTGGAAAAAGTGTTGGAAAGCTTGAAAGATGATCCTTGAATTCAATTTCTAAAAATGAATACATGGTTTACAAGGGGAGAGAGAAGGGAAAACTCCTAGGTAGGCCCCACACAGGAACAAAGGAATAAGCCTGACCTACTAGAGGACTGAGAACTTGAGCCTGTCTAGAGGATGGTGGGAATGTAGTCAGATTTGAGAAAGTCAGCAGAGGTCATACTGGAGAAATATGAATGCCAGGCTGAAAGAGCTTGGTCTTGTCCTGTAAGTGACAAAAAGCAAAATCAGAATTTTTCTCAAGTTCATTCTAGAAGCAGTATGTAAAGAACAGATTTAGACCAAAGGTAAAGAATTAGGAAGTTGCTGCAGTATCCAAGTAAGAGAGGGCTGTGACGTTGGTATGGGACAGAGAGGAAAGTTAAAGAAATTTCCAGAAGGTAAAAATCAATAGTAATTTGTTGTTAGGAGACAGAGAAATTGTCCAGTAGGAGATACCCAGGTTTGGGTTGGCTGGATAATAGAGTCATTAAATGAAAAAATTCAGAAAGGAAATTAATCATCATCCAAAGTATTCATAAGACACCCAAGCGGAAATGTACAACACGGGATGGAAATGTGGGTCTAGAACCCAGGTAAGAGATCCAGGCTAAAAATTTAGAGATCTGTCAATATAATGAGTGTATATAATCACAGAGATAGGAAAACCAGAGTGGAATTTCCAAAGCAAACAGAATTTTAAAGATTAGTGGTCAATAGTGGCAGATACTCAGAGGAAAAATATCAAGAGTTTCTTGTTTTGGCAATTAGGAAGCCAACAGTACATTCAAAAGCAGGCTGAATGGCATAAGTGGTCTGATTAAGTGAGTGGAACGTGAGGAAGTGAAGTTAGTCTGTGAGCTCTGGAAAAATGTGACTGTGAAGAAATAGAAAGTAACCCAAAGTAGTGGCTACAACTGGACAGAAGATTAAGAAACTGTTCTAAGGTGAGCACTACTCGAGCATGTTTATAGACCTGGGGAAATAAAGGAAAATTTAACTAAGAAAGGAAAGGATGGGAAACAGTCTAGGGCAAGGCTAGAATGATAAGCCTCAAACAAAGAAGGAAATTATCTTCCTCTGAAATGGGAAGGGAAGAGCAGGTGTGGAGATTTACAAAAGAAAGGCTAGAAAATTCAAGCCTGGTAGCCTGCATTTTCTGTCTGCATTTTGCAGACAAGGTCTCTGCAAAAAAGAAATGAGAGACCCTAATGAGGGTTAGGTAAGAAACTTGAGGCAAGTGGTGAAGGCTTGAAGTGGCTGTTGAAAGAAAGGAGATACAACCCAGCCCAAAATGGAACATGTGAATTTGTAATAGTGATGATCTATACCTGCACATTTTATCTGGTGCAGAAGCTGAGAACAGCTGTAATTATCCAAGTGGAGAAGGTATTACGAAAAGAGTGGCTGAAAGGATACATAGTAAGAATCAAGCCAAACAGAAAGAGAAGTCAAGCCAGATAGGGGGGAGGTAGGGTACAAAGCACATTAGGTTGAAGCAGATAAAATGTGTATCTGGGTATGAGATGGGTGTGTCTCATGGGTATGAGAAAGTTGGAAGGATAGGAAGTGAGAATAGAATGATAGCTATTAAAGTTTTGGGTACTAGGTATAGTTTTGGTACTATTTAAGTTCTAGAGTATGGGCTTGGGAGTAGTTAAATGAGAGGTATTAGGAGGTCAAAGAAACATGAAGGGCCAGAGTGCTAGATAACTCCATGGTCCTTGAAGTCAAGATGATTTGGGAAAAAAAAATGAAGACTGGGATGGCATCCAAAGTCATCAATGAACTAGGAAAACAGCATAGGATAGAGGACTATAACAAGGAAGAAAAGAGAGTAGTGAAGTCAGATAACATGAGCTTTAAAAGAGAACTATAGGTGGATGGTCTGAATGACAACACAGCACTTGGCTAATGCCAACACCACTTCTTAGCCCCATGGGACACAGGGACTGTAAGAAGATTACAATCCAAGTGGCCAGACAGAAATCAGGTATGAGGGAAAGCAGGTGGGAAGAGGCTGCAGGGGTTTGTTAACCATAGAAGAGGTGTCCAGACGGCATAGTAAGGTTTTGAAAAAATGGGGTGGAAAGAGGAAGAAAGAACAGAATAAAGGACTCTGGCTAAGCCCACAGCCTGGCTACTGCTAGAGGCAGAGGGGCCAATAAGAGGCACTGAGAAAAACCTAAGATGGTCCTGAAGATCTCATGACCCACCCCTACTATGACCACTGTCACCATCCTTACAGACAGCAGGCGATAGATATAGCAGGTCTTCTTTTGACCATCACGCCAGACCCGGGCCATGGCTTGTTCATCATTGGCTGGGTTCCAGTCAGGGTCAAACATGACCAGTCGGTTAGCCCCAATGAGATTGAGGCCACAGCCTCCAGCTTTGCTGCTTAGCATGAAGACAAAATCAGGGCTCTGGAAAGAGAGGAAGCAAGAGAAGAAGAACCTCTTGCAGCCTGAACTAGAATCCTACTCAACCCAGCCGACTGTTCTCTCACACATCTGTATTCTTATGCTGTAAGAACCACTAATTTGTCTGCCTACTAATTTCCCCACCCCGCCATCACCAACCAACCTAACCCTGCCACACCCAGCAGAAAAGGAGGGGGAAAAAAGGAAAAATCAAAGAGACCCTAAAGCAGAGCACCTATCCCTTATAGCTTCTCTATCACCCCTTGATTCTGATGGTACTGCATTGGTAGTGTGGGAACAGAGGTTGTACATTTACCAGCGGACTGTTAAAGCGTTCCACAACCTTGGCTCGCTTCTTAATGGACATTGTGCCATCCAAGCGGACATATAAGTACCTGAAGGGGAATCCAAAGATCAAAACACAAGAAGGTGCAGAGCCCTGCTACCAAAGGAACTGAACAATGCTTGAGGTTATTTGTGTACAGCCTGGGGCCCTAAACTCTCAAAGGGACAGGCAGGGAGCTAGGGCCCAGGACTCTGTCCACTGGGATTACCTGAAGGACTAGGGGGCTATTCTGCTTAGAGGTGGAACTGGGACCATCACAGAAATAAAACAACAGATGTTTTCTGGAAAGCTCCTCCCGTACCCATATCTTGGCCCATATCCACCAGTCAGAACACCAACTCTTACTAGCAGGACAGTTGGGGAGGCACCACTTTAGTAAACCAATTAGGCTCTTTCCTACCTTCGGGCCCGACAGAGCTTCTCAAAGAGGTCCAATGTCTGAGTGTAATTGGACACCAGAACTACTTTGTCACTGCTGCGGCTTCGGGTCACTGCCAGAATGTAATCAAGGACCAGCATCTTACCTGGAGAAGTCAGCAACCATTAGTTCTCAACAGGCCATCCCAGTGCCCCAGGAGTCTTACTCTTGATATCAAGCCTTGAGGCAAGGATACATCTAGCACAAAGAGACAATCTCCCACCCCTCCCCCAAAGGAGCCCAAAGACTGGCTTACCTGACAGCTGGGGCTCTAGTGCCTTGGCGCTATAAGTAGGGGGGAATATTTCCAAAGCACCTTCAAAGCCATCCTCCTCTTCCACACACTTGTCATAGATTAGAGCTGGATCTGAAAAACAAAAACAAAACACAAAATGCCAGTTATGATGCTTTCGGGAATTTCCACTTCAATGCTCATGGGAACCCCCTCTAGAAGCCTACTCAGCAGACCTTCCTCAGCCCCAGACTTGCTTGGGCCCAAATCCCAGGATACAGTCCGTTCCATCTGGACAATCCTGCTCACTAGTTAGTGTGTTCTCCCAACAAAAACGGAACTATACCAAGAGAGGGCAAGGTTTGCTAATTTTCTTCCTAACATTTTATTATGTACATGTATGCATGCACATATGCATACGGAGTCTCACATACACCAAGCATCAGTTGGGCAGAGGATAAGGTAAATTTTCCCAAA